GCCATTCTTCTTCATATTTCTTTTTGAAAAGTATAATCGCGAAAAATGCTAGATATAATACGAAAGTTGGTTTTATAAATATTCACATGATACGATTGCTAGTATAATTAATTATTCATAAAGTTGCGTATTATATTTAGCATTTTTCACGATTATGTTACAGAAAGGAACGTAAAGAAGAGCGGCATGCACACGGCTATCTGCCTGTACGAGCGTCGGTAAGGGAATGACCGCACGGTAACTACGCATAAACATGACGCGCCGCCCGTCCCACCCCATTCCATCCCCACTTCAAGGTCGCGCGTCGATCATCTAACTGTCGAAATATTACCGCGTAGTTAACGCATATTACAAAATTAAAATAATCTACTCGCTACGTTTTAATATTCTTCGATGAATATTACACGATGCTATATGTATTATACGATTTACGTTTAATTTCTTGAATTCGTTACGCACACTACTCTATACCTTAGACCGGTATTCATAGCCAGAGCTTATATTCCGTCTTAAGTACAATTTTAAAAAGTCATGAATCAGAGGGCTGTAACATTACTTAAGACAGTCTCGAAATAAGAATGGACTATAAATACCGTCCTTGGATATCTCTAATTTATATATATGTAAATATATAATATGAATTCTATTTATATCATTATTATACTTAGTCCAAATTGTTTTATAATTTAAAAAATGTTTGCGTTTATCTTTATTTAAAGAATGTGTAACTTATTATTAAACTTTATTTGAATGTAAGTCATCAAAGGAAGTAAAGATTGAGATATAACTCTTAATACACACCTTAGTTTTGAGCAACATTACTATTGGGGCAGCCTTACGTAATTAATCATCAATTCGCGTTCGTGTCTATATCTAATTTTCGTAGATAATACAGAGCGACCGCGCCACATGTCCGCCTCCCTCAGCGATCGCCGAACGAATGCCGAAGTGATGACGTAGTTCACCACCGCGTCGCCCGGCACGCTCCCCACTCCCCGCTCCCCCTCGCTTTTCACCGTGCGACCTTTCCCCTTGCTTTTCGCCAGGCGCTGTTTAGATTATACCCAACTATTGCGTATAAAAAATATTCAACGATTTATTCGTATTTTACATGATTTTGACAAACGGTATCGCTGTACATTTCGCGTTTTGCTTTGTGGCATCTCGAGCACAATCCTATATTACTTACTGTACGGTTCTTTTAATTAAATGAATTATTAATTATTCGTGAGGTATTTTTGATATTCCAACAATTATGTCTCAACAATTAAGTGTAGTTACTTAAAATAATGAATTTATACTAAATAACTCTTTTAATTTTTATACAACTTTACAAATCTTTCTAAAGATGTCAAAATACACATAAGAATTTAATAATTTTTATATACATATAAAAAAGCGACAAAAATGAAAGTATATAATTTAAATAAAAAAATTAAAAGAGTTATTTAGTATAAATTCATTATTTTAAGTAACTACACTTAATTGTTGAGACATAATTGTTGGAATATCAAAAATACCTCACGAATAATTAATAATTCATTTAATTAAAAGAACCGTACAGTAAGTAATATAGGATTGTGCTCGAGATGCCACAAAGCAAAACGCGAAATGTACAGCGATACCGTTTGTCAAAATCATGTAAAATACGAATAAATCGTTGAATATTTTTTATACGCAATAGTTGGGTATAATCTAAACAGCGCCTGGCGAAAAGCAAGGGGAAAGGTCGCACGGTGAAAAGCGAGGGGGAGCGGGGAGTGGGGAGCGTGCCGGGCGACGCGGTGGTGAACTACGTCATCACTTCGGCATTCGTTCGGCGATCGCTGAGGGAGGCGGACATGTGGCGCGGTCGCTCTGTATTATCTACGAAAATTAGATATAGACACGAACGCGAATTGATGATTAATTACGTAAGGCTGCCCCAATAGTAATGTTGCTCAAAACTAAGGTGTGTATTAAGAGTTATATCTCAATCTTTACTTCCTTTGATGACTTACATTCAAATAAAGTTTAATAATAAGTTACACATTCTTTAAATAAAGATAAACGCAAACATTTTTTAAATTATAAAACAATTTGGACTAAGTATAATAATGATATAAATAGAATTCATATTATATATTTACATATATATAAATTAGAGATATCCAAGGACGGTATTTATAGTCCATTCTTATTTCGAGACTGTCTTAAGTAATGTTACAGCCCTCTGATTCATGACTTTTTAAAATTGTACTTAAGACGGAATATAAGCTCTGGCTATGAATACCGGTCTAAGGTATAGAGTAGTGTGCGTAACGAATTCAAGAAATTAAACGTAAATCGTATAATACATATAGCATCGTGTAATATTCATCGAAGAATATTAAAACGTAGCGAGTAGATTATTTTAATTTTGTAATATGCGTTAACTACGCGGTAATATTTCGACAGTTAGATGATCGACGCGCGACCTTGAAGTGGGGATGGAATGGGGTGGGACGGGCGGCGCGTCATGTTTATGCGTAGTTACCGTGCGGTCATTCCCTTACCGACGCTCGTACAGGCAGATAGCCGTGTGCATGCCGCTCTTCTTTACGTTCCTTTCTGTAACATAATCGTGAAAAATGCTAAATATAATACGCAACTTTATGAATAATTAATTATACTAGCAATCGTATCATGTGAATATTTATAAAACCAACTTTCGTATTATATCTAGCATTTTTCGCGATTATACTTTTCAAAAAGAAATATGAAGAAGAATGGCAGGCGACACGGCTACTTGTCCGATACGAACGGTATCACACGCGAGACAAAAAAGCAGTTAATATCAAAAATTAATATCAATACTCTCATACAATTCCTGCTTTCACAATTAATGCAGTTTTATAATATTATTAATTAATAATTATATAATATAATTAATTTTTCGTTTTTGTGCACTTTTCGTTCCGTTAAAAAATTAACCGTAACTTGGAACGAGATATCGTTAATAAAAGAAATATTTCTCTTTTTTATTAATTTCTAGTCTATTGACTCTAATAGTATTTTACAGACATTTATGTGTATGTATAAATAAAAGATTCAACTCTTTTATCTGTTCTGACTTTATTTCGCAATGATAATGAATTGCTGACGTGCGTTTGATGTTCGCTTCTAAAAATTAACCAATTGCATAGTAATTGCATAGTAATATAGATAATAGCTATATATTACATTTTTCAGATTATTTTCTCTCTCACATACACCTTGACGTAGTGAGAGAGCTCAGTATCCAGAGGATATTCACACGAAAAGAATGGTTTTTCTCAAGTATCTAAAAATTTTCGAATATGTCTGAATATATATCTAGATAAATTTTTAGATATTGAGTAAAATCGTTCTCTTTGTGTAAAAATACAACGGGGAAGCTAACGTACCCTTGTCGCTGATATAAATGAAAGTGAACGAACCGCAGCCGGTTCGTCGCGTCGCACGTTTCGGGAGTGCCGATGAAGTTATCGGACTCAAGTTATAGTTCGCGCGCGATTACAGTGTATTCGCGAGTGTTTTACGCGAGAGAAGAGAAATTTCTGTGAGAGAAGAGAGAAATTATTCATATTCTGAGAGGAAGAGGAGATCTGGAAGGCAACCTTGCGGTAAATATTATTTTTTACTTGTGTAAAATTAACCTTTTGTTGCTTGTTTTTAAATCATTTTATTTGAGAATGATTAAAAAAATGATTATTTTTTAATCATTGTTAAATGAAATGATTTAAATAGTTCTATATTCTATAAAATAATTATACATTCTCTGAAATAATTATATAAATTCTTTTAAATAATTATATATATTTT